ACCAACACAGTCGCCCTGTTATTCTCTCTGATTTTCATTGCATCCTCACCTTTGATCCTTTCCTCTTTGAACTTGAAAGTCTTGGCTTTGATCGACACCTCAGACCTCCACCTTCCTACTACTATGAACCTTCTCTCGTCCTGTTGTAGACTTTCAATCAGAACTTCAATCAAAGGCTGTTGGAGGCCTACAATTATAATTGTTATTTCAGGTCTGGTTTAGCCACTATGAATGCATGATCTTTAGGAGGAAGGACTATGGATTTGATAGACACAATAAAGAAGGATAAGATTAATATTTTATGCATACAAGAAACTAAATGGAATGAGGAAAAAAACTAAAGAAATTGATGGCTACAAACTATGGTACACAGGAAAAGTAATTAATGGAATTGGAGTAACATTAATAGTATGCAAGGGCTTAAAAAGTGAAAGATGAAAATGTTAAAAGTGTTGGATATAGAATAGTTTTAGTCTCATGGAGGATTAAGACACAATCTATTGTTGGTCCCTTCATTGTTGAGGGAGTATACAACAATGACTCATGGTGTTTCAGGATTATTTGGGGTCTGATCGCTATTGGAAAAGTTGGGAGTCATGAATGATGATCTTATGGGATTGTGTTCTGATAAGTAGACTTCTTATTAATATAGGCCATAATCTGTTACTGCATTATGTGACAAAACATATAGAAGGTTTTTTATTTTTATTTTTTCTATTTGATAAGCAACATCATTTTCATTAAATAGAAAAATTACAATAAACTGGACAAAGATCCAGTAACCCAAAATGATTCCCAAACAAAGTAATTATAGAAGTTGAAAAAACATTTTGTTTGAGAATAATTCATCAAAAAACATTTTGTTTGAGAATAGGTAACTTCTAATGAAGTTTGCCTCATGTTAGTTTTAGATGGGCAGCTTGCAGATGTGTTTATTAAGGACATTAATGAAGTATAGTTTAATAAACGTATAAACAAGCTTGGCATGGTTAATCCTTATCAGGGAATGTCCTTGTTGGAAGGGCTGTAGGCTGGGCAGAAGGATCCAGCCTAGTTGTGGAGGGTGATTCTCAAATGCTGTTGACCGGTTGCGAGCAGGCAACAGAGGAACTGTGCAGCTGTGGCACCTAATTTGTGAAGCCAGTGTCTTTGTTGGTCAAATGAGCATCTTGTTTAGATGGATGATACGATCAGAAAGCTCTTTTGGGTGATTTGCACTTGCTCTGTGGACCTACCTCTCAAGATGAAGGACTTCTAGTTATTGTTTCTTGAACATTTAGGTTCTTTTAGGTGAATAGGGAAGAGTGACATGTTGGGCTACCCTCTATATCCTCTTTTATGGCGTTTTAACTCCAATTTCCTCTGATCAATGAGGCCACTGATCCATTTTTGATGAAAAGAGGAAAATAGGTAGAGAAATTGCTAGAAGTTTTAAGGTTCTTAACAGAAGCAATATGAAAGAAGAATGTAGTAAACAGTCTACAAGAAGCTTGAGAAAAGAGAATAATCTGTTTTTGTAAATCCTGAATAATTTCTCTTCGTTGACATCTAAGTTAATTTCTGTTCATTGGATGCTGTACCATAGGAACTCCTTAACCAGTCAATGTCTTATATTCCAGAAGAAAATCATCAATCTGTTTACAAATAAATTTCAGAATTGGGTATTTAATTGAAGACCAACAATAGGGCAGGTTTTCTTTTGGTATGGCTCCTCTATGTTTTGGAAGTTTTATTATTGTTGTACTTTGTTGATGACCTCTTCTTGTTATTTACTTGTAGCCTACTAGTCATACATATAGGATGTTGTCTTATATTCCTTTTGTTTTATGTGCAAAAAAACAAAAAAGAATAGTAATTGAGAATAACAAAAATATATTATGTTAATTAAAGAACAATTTTATCTTACCTGTTTTCAGGCACTAGGTCCCGGATTCTCTCAGTTTGCTGAACCTGTATTTCAGAGGTGCATAAACCTCATCCAGACTCAACAACTGGCAAAGGTTTCAACAATTTGATATTCTTTTTTGTTACTCTTTAAGGCCTTTTATTTTCATTTCTTGCAACCCATCCTTTATGCTTGTATAAGATGTCTTTTGTGTTGAATTCTTCCGACCATTACTATTTAATGAAGGTTTGACTTCTATATGTCATTTTAAGAATAATGTTCTTTATTTATCTACAACTCTCTTGTAGATATCATGTTTTCTGCTAAATAAACTGTTGCAGAAGCATAGGATGTGTATCATGGAACTATGATGGTATTTTACCTGTTCAATGGTGCCATATATGCCAGATACTTAAATTTACTTGAAGTTACTGCTGTTAGCAGAACTTTCAGGTTGAAAAGTAACCCAAAGAAGAGAAAGGAAGAGAGAAGAGAGAAGAGAGAAGAAAATAGAAGAAGAACAAGAGAGGAATGGGCGAAAATGTTACATTACTGCCGCCCTAAGCAGTATTATTTATATGTGTTTAACATAACATTAGGTAAAAGGACAAAAATTCCCTGCTACCTATAACAGTACAAGAAAGCAAGCATAAAGCAAAAATAAGCAACAAAAGACTGAACTTATGGGACCACATGTAAATATATCAGGTCTGGTCCACTGTATCAACATTCCCCCTCAAGTTGGGAATAGATATTCATCATTCCCAACTTGCATAATTCTGATTCCAATTTGACTTTAGTAACTGCTTTGGTGAAGAGATTAGCAAGTTGCATATCAGAGGCAACATAGGGAAAGCAAACATCTTGAGAAGCAACTTTATTTCGGATGAAGTGACGGTCAACATCAATATGTTTAGTTCTTTCATGCTGGATGGAGTTGTGGGCAATATTTATAGTAGCTTGGTTATCACAATACAACCTGTTGGTGTGAAAATTTTAATAAATTCTCATGCAACATAATTCACTTAATCAAGTGATTGAGTTTTTATTATTTTGGGTAAGGCCCATTCAGGGAATCATACGGATTGTTCCCCTTAATTACATCTCCACAAGAAAGTAGAGAATGCCTTTTGATTCTGACTTGGAGAAATGAACACAGAGAACAAAAGAAAAGAACAATATTGGTACTTAAAAAGAACTTTTCATTTGCTTTTCTTTTACATCAAGTGTACAACAATGAGAAGAAAGAAAAAGAAAATACAATCGAGAAACTATACAGCAATACATTTCTCTTTTCTTTTTAATACAAAGAAAATTTCCTTCTCACTCCTTTCTTCACAATAAGCTATAATCAATCAGATGAAGTTCTGATTGTAGACAACCTTAATCCTTGGAATTTTGCATACAAAAAGGGAACCGTAGTCAATCAAACTGAATATTTGATTGCAGACGATTTTCATCTCTCTGCTCTTCATTTTCATTTGAAAGAACCATAATCAGCCTTAGAGAATTAGACTGTAGATGGTTTAATCCCTAACTTTGTCTTGGAAGAGGGACCATAATCAACCAAGTAGTGGCACCTAGTTGTAGATGGTTTATTCCCCTCTATTCTTCATTTTCATTTGAAGGGAACCATAATTAGTCTTTGAGAATTAGACTGTAGATGGTTTAATCCCTAACTTTGTCTTGAAAGAGGGACCATAATCAACCAAGTAGAGGCGCCTGGTTGTAGATGGTTTATTTCATTCTATTTCCTTTCTCAAAAGTGAAAATAAAGGGAGAGGAAGAAGGATACAAAGCAGAAGACATATATAGGAAGTATTCACAAAGAGGACTTTCTTTTTTCTACCTGTATTAGTGAGACTTTTCCTTCCCTGCCTTCCCTTGAGCACTTCTCTTTTCTTCTCTCCTTATCTTTGCTTTTTCTTAAGAATTTCTCGTGAAAATGTTCTTCGAAGAGTCTCTTTGTTTGTGCTTCTAACATCCCCTTAAGGAGCTTAAATAGCGAGTGGGGTAGTTATGTAATTACCTCTTCCTCCTAGGTGAAGGACACCTGTTCCTCCCACTTAAAGAGCAGGCACTTCCATTCGGGATACTTTTTTATAGTTTTAATGATTTGGCTAGCAGACTAGCCAACCCATTTCCTTGAGTTCTAATTTATTTAAATATTATTTGGATTAAAAAAATGCCTTCAACATAACCACAATGGTTTCACATACTCAATCCCTAGTTCCTCAAGAAGGGATCTTAGCCATAACACTTCAGCCGCACCATGAGCTATGAACCTGTATTCTGCCTCGGCACTTGAACGAGCAACAACATTTTGCTTCTTGCTACGCCATGACACTAAGTTACCTCCAAAAAATGCACAGTACTCTGAAGTCAATCTTCTATCATCAACACATCTGGCCCAATCAGCATCAGTATACACCTCGATTTTCATATGACCATTATTTTAAAGAGTATACCACGACCTGAACATTTCTTCAAGTAAGTAAGGATTCTTTCTACAACCAATAGATGAGTGTTCTAGGAGAATGCATGTATTGGCTGACAACACTAACAGCATAGGAGATGTTATGACGAATAAAACATAGATAAAGGAGCTTTCCGGCTAGTTGTTGGTACATGGCTTTGTCTTCTAGAGGCTCACCCCCTTTGGCATTTATCTTATGATTCAATTCAAAAGGTGATGAGGGTAGATGTGGCCCTCCAGTGAAATTGCGACACGTGGCACCTCGTTACAACTAGGCAAGCACCCAGGCAACAACTTACCAAGTTGGTGTCCCCACCCGGGCACCGGTCTGGCTGGCCTAGCGCGACCTGCACGCGGCCTACGGGCGGTCTGCAAGCGGCCTGGCCCGGCCCGCGCGTTCTG